TTGTTTCAAACTCTTTACCGAACCCAAACCTTCGCAGAACTCCTTATCTTCCTTGCTCAGTTTCCTCAGAGTTCACTTTGCTTGTGTAATAACTACATTCGCGTTGAATTTAGCCCACATTCAATGAGCTAAACTGATGGTAACACCGTTTTATATGTGCCATAACTTAAATGCTTCAGAGGTGAATCTTCTTTCTGGGAAGTCGAAAGCTAATCTTTCCACCCGGTAGAATAGTCTCTCATATATTCGTCTGGCAAAATCCTACTGTCTAATAGAGTCGTGTTTTAGTGGTCCGTTTCTTATACGTCTCAAGAGTATCAAATCTCTCCTTTGCGCAAAATTCTCCTCCTCATTGAAGTGTCGGGCCTAAATTCATCTGAATACTTTCATCTCTTACTGAAAACATGTTCCCATTCATGTTTTACGCCTACACATAAAAATCCACCTTACAAACTCAAAAAGAGAGAATGGAAAATTTAAAGTTGATTATGTCTAAAGCGTTCTTCATCAATGCAAATATGTGCTGTGTTCGCCGCGCAGGGACAGAACTCAGTGCCGACCAACTAGTTCTTCCTATTTTCAAAGTTACAGATAGAATTACGCCACCCTACCCCCCCCTTTACAATCTTGTTTTCTCTCCCACATATCTGCACGCGACATGTATAAATTTTTTGAACACATTTCTTTCAGTCCCATTGTCATGCGCAGCTGAGGCACGGAACACACTGCCCGCAGCCTTCTCATTGGTGGAAAAAGCTACTGGGCCAGGATCCCGGATTATGCAAGCTTCTCTGACGCGCCGCGAGTACGACTGTTGAAGCTTGTTGACACTGAATGCTTGAAAAAGAAATCCGCTTTAAAAATAAACTATGTAACACAAATATAACCGCAACTAATTGCTTCGATTTAAAGCAAAACTTCAACAGAAGAAATATACTCGTTGTTCTATATAGTTATATAGAGGAAGACCGTCCTTTAACGCGTGGATAAATTAGCAAAAACTTGCAATGAGTGTAAGCAAACTAAAGAGCTGAATAAAATCAACTTGATATGTTCGGTAAAACGTTTTTAGCTTTTATTAAGCCAAGAAAATGGCTGGTTGAATCACTGTGTCTGAGGTATTCATAAAAATTACGTGGCTAATGTAATGTACATTAGTGGAGATATAAAAAGAAAATCAGACAATTATTTCTATCATTATACATTGTACTCACTGTCTTCGCATTGGCCTACGGTTAATTTGGGAAATAAGCGCAGATAATTGACTAATCTATACATTGCGCGCGCAATGCATGATCTCTAAGAGCAATCAGTCTAACTGTGTCCCCTGCTATGGTGTGTTTGTCGTTATTGTCTTCCAAACAATGTATAAATGACACAATTATTTGATTCGGTTTCCACAAAATCCCATCCAATAACTTTTCAGGACCTCACATTTGGGGAATGAGGAGGTTGACCTGATCCAGCTTCATGTTAAGTCAGCAAGAGAATTTTTGCCTCCGCATGCGGAGAAGACAAAGTCAAGAGACTTAGTTGACAAAGTAAACGCCCCCCCCACCCCTTACCAACCAATGTTTCATTTTCATTTTCATGAGACATTCATATTGTCATGCATAGCATTAATACAGTATTGCAAGCACGTCCTTTATTTCCTAGAATTCTTTAGTTATCGAATAACATATTCAAACTTACCTACAATTCTTTAGTGAACGAATAACATATTTAAGCTCGTTGCCCTTGTGTGCGCAAAAAGAAATTCGAGCATTTGAAAGATACGAGTTCTTCTAGCAGCCTTGGCTATTTATTTCTAAGAACAATGATCGTCACAGTTGGTTGGTGCGCAGCCTTCTGTGAGAGAGGTTCGTTACTCATTTTCTTTTCTTTCTATGTAGCTTTAGGCAACTTTAGATACAATTGAAACGGACCACATAGAGAAACGGGGGGAAGACGGTAAATTGAGTGCACCCTCAGCCTCAAGTCTCAAATTGTTTTTAAGTCAGCCGGTGATGACCATTTTGAGCTACCGACCCATGAAGGAAACTTTACCTTTAATTATTGAAACACCGTTAAACTTTTACCAGCCGAGGTTCTCGCAGTAGGAAGAAGTTCAGTCAGCTATTAAAAGACGTGGCTAATCTTGAGTGTAAAATTCAGATAATTGTTATCGGTATACTACCTTTTTTCAATGAGGTCAAAAGTTCGTTTCTTAGTATACTTCAACACAAAACGGGAAACGCTTTGTCATCAAAACACTTCCAAGAAAAGCCTGTTTACAGATTAAAAACGAATTAATATTTATAACACCCTTTAGGGATAGAGCCGAACTCTGTCTATAGAGGATCATCTTTTAGCCATGAAATTGGTTTGAACTAGGAACCAGCTTCGATTTTAGATCCTCACAAGATAAAAATAATGACCTTGTTATTGGTCAGAGCGTACTGCTATATACTTAAATAATATATAGGCTTTCGTGGAAAAGCCAGAGATATTTTTCTGAAGTGCTGCTGTCACCTACGTATGCTCGTACTGTCAGTTACCACGTGTTGTTGCCTCAACACCTACAATTTAAAATTTTATGAAATGCTTTCCTTTTTGATTGGCTAACGAGCTAACAAAGTCAAATTCCTCTTTATTGGTTATTTGACCTGTGATTGGCCGATTATGTTGGGTGGCCCTTGCACCGACTATAATATTCTGGGAGTGCCTCTAATAATTCATAGTTCCTTAGATCTAATTCTCTGGCGTATTCCTTGGCTGCTCCGATTTCCTAAGCACTACGTTTAAAAATGTCAGCATCAGGAAAGGTATGTACCAGAATTTTTGTGAACAAAAACTTTTCGCACCCCAAGTCCGGTTTATTTACTTACCAAAGTCAAACGGTATTCCGCAGATCATGATTCCAAAGGAGGACGAAATTCGTCACTCGACGGCTAAAAATCCAACAGCTAATGCGAAAGGTAAAAAATCATATTTTTTTTACTACTCCACAATTTCATAGAAATAGCGATAAAATTAAAATTATTCTCATTGTTTCGCCCAAGCTTAAGAAAATTTTCGCTTTCTTCCTTTCCTTCCTCAAAGAAAATGTCGCTTGTGTGATAAATGCATTTTGGCATGAGTTCAATCGTTCCCCCATGTAATGTACCAAAAGAATCAGAGTTAAGAGTTTAAATTACGTTCCGAAACGTAACACACAAAGGAACGTTTGATAGGTGCTTCTTCTCAGGCAACTGCCATTTTCCAAGAAGACTAGACCTAGTCGTGCGTTAAATATTTTCAGTGTTTCACAATTAGTGTTTTTTCAACTGTTTTAGATAAAAACTACGACCCTTTCAAACACAAAAGCTAGTCCATCTTTTAATCATGGCCACATAGAAATTATGTCCCTTCACTATCTTGTTTTTTTCTTAGGGAGCCTCATGAGCTTAAATTGCTTTTGATCACACTTAATTCTTCCTTTATAATTTGAATTTCAGTTCCATTGTCATGCGCAGCTGAGGCGCGGAACACTCTACCCGCAGCTTTCTCATTGGTGGAAAAAGCTACTGACCCAGGGTCCCGGATATATACAAGCTTCTCAGACGAGTAGCGGCTGTTAAAGCTCGTCGACAGCGAAAGCATGTAAAAGAAACTGCCGCTGTGAAACTAAACTGTGTAATAGAAATAAATCGTAATTAATCGCTACTTTTTAAAGTTAGACTGTTTTGTACTAGAGATAAATTAGTAAACACTCGCAATGTGTGCAAGCAAACTAAAAAGCTGAATAAAATCAACTTGATATGTTCGGTAAAAAGTTTTTAGCTTTTATTAAGCCAAGAAAATGGCTGGTTGTATCACTCTGTCTGAGGTATTCATAAAAATTACCTGGGTAATATAATGTACATTAGTGGAGATAGAAAAGAAAAACAGACAATTATTTTTATCATTATACATTGTACTCACTATCTGTCTTCTCACTGGCAAAGAGCCTACGGTTAATTTGGGAAATAAGCGCAGTATAATTGACTAATCTGTAGTTTGCGCGCGCAATGCATGATCTCTAAGAGCAATCAAAATAACTGTGTTCCCTGCTATGGTGTGTTTGTCGTTATTGTCTTCCAAACAATGTATAAATGACACAATTATTTGATTCGGTTTCCACAAAACCCCCATACAATAATTTTTTAGGACCTCACATTTGGGGAATGAGGAGGTTGACCTAATCCACCTTCATGTTAAGTCGGCAAGAGAATTTTTGCCTCCGCACGCGGAGAAGACATAATCAAGAGGCTTAGTTGACAAAGTAAACACCCCCCCCCCCCTTACAAACCGATAGTTCATTTTCATTTTCATGAGACATTCATATTGTCATGCATATCATTAATACAGTATTGCAAGCACGTCCTTTATTTCCTAGAATGACATATTCAAGCTTACCTAGAATTCTTTAGTTAACGAATAACATATTCAAGCTCGCCCTTGTGTGCGCAAAAAGAAATTCGAGCATTTGAAAGATACGAGTTCTTCTACCAGTCTTGGCTGTTTATTTCTAAGAACAATGATTGTCACAGTTGGTTGGTGCGCAGCCTTCTGTGAGAGAGGTTCCTTACTCAACTTCCTTTTCTTTCTATGTAGCTTTCGGCAACTTTAGATACAATTAAAACGGACCACATGGAGAAACGGGGGGTCTTGGGGGGGGGAAGACGGTAAATTGAGTGCACCCTCAGCCTCAAGTCTCAAATTGTTTTAAGTCAGCCAGTGATGACCATTTTGAGCTACAGGCCTCATGAAGGAAGCTTTACCTTTTTTATTGAAACACCGTTAAACTTTTACCAGCCAAGGTCGTTCTCGTAGTAGGAAGAAGTTCAGTCAGCTATTAAAAGACATGGCTAATCTTGAGTGTAAAATTCAGATAATTGTTATCGGTATGCTAACTTTTTTATGAGGTCAAAAGTTCGTTTCTTAGTATAGTTCAACACAAAACGGAAAACGCTTTGTCATCAAAACACTTCCAAGAAAAGCCTGTTTACAAATTAAAACGAATTAATATTTATAACACCCTTTCTGGACAGAGCCGAACTCTCCCTCTTGAGAGTCATCTTTCAGCCATGAAATCGGCTTGAACTAAGAACTCACAAGATTACTGCTATATACTCATAATATATAGGCTTTAGTGGCAGCCATATATCCTTGGATAAACACACCCCAACACACCAACACAAAACATTCTCATCTGGAGAGGATCTGAACAAAAGTAACTTGACGAAAAAATAAGACAGCGGAATTGACGAAAAGCAACTGAACTTTACTTGTTTTCAATCATTTTTACGGTGTACAACAATAATAAAAATTAATGTTAGCTGAGATGCCCGTGAGGCTAACTCCTTCGCAGACCCCTTCGAAGGGTGATGATTTTCAGCGAGGGGTTGTGGGCTACTAAAAAATTAAATAAGTAACACAATTATTAGGCCCTTTCTCTGACACTAATTATTCAGGAGAAAAAAGCTACGGCAAGGTAGGGGTATTCTTAGCCTTAAGCCATTGATATACACGCAGAAAAAATACAGTAAAACGGACTATCCTTATGACTTAACAATATTGCACCACTGTTACGATATAAACAGATAATATAAACGCCCCTAGGGTATGGTTAAATCATTGCAATAAAGTCGGACAAGACAGTAACAAGCTACTGAAACGACTTGATAATAGACTTCCTATTCCCAGAAGATACTTAAGTCATGGACTTGCAGTCGTCTGTCTTTGAGCCCATATTGCAAAATACGCTTTATCAAACTTGCGATCCTTAAACAGTAAACTGGAAAAAACGGGTTTAAATTTTATCACAAAAAGCTAGTGTATAACTTGCAAGGTTACACAGCATTTTCAAACAGCTAAAACTTAGTTTTGAAATAGTAACTGGCCCAAAAAGCAACGAACGAACAGCTCTGGTACCAATACCTCACTGTATCAGAAATCTCGATTGGCTTTGCCTACGTCCACGACAAGCCAAAAAAAACCATGATTGATCTTTTAATTAAAAACGTTCATGACGGAATAACACAATTTTTAACGCATAGCTGCATTCAAAGCTAATTGAATTGCCTTATAAGGCTTCCACAGGATTCGTTTTGGAAAGGTAATAGTTGTATAACATAACATATTCTACCACGACACATCTAAAGTTGAAGTAATTTCAACTTCAAATTCACTAACTCAGACAATTTTCACACTGAAAAAACTTTGTGAAGTAAATGCTATCCATAGCTAAAACAAGTGCATTTAACTTTACCGAAAATGTAGGTATAGATTAAATACGGTTACTCGATTGAACTTTGCTAACTTTACAATCTACATTATCGTTGTCTATTCGTGCTGAAGACACAATCTACTTTTTTTTTCTTCGTTGTCTTTTTGTTTTTCGCTTATTTTTTCGTGTTTTTTTTAAGTCCTTTTTTTATTTTTTTAAACGTTTTTTCTATGCTTTTTGGATAATATGTAATACTTATACTCAAAAAAATACGGTGACTGAACAGGTAATACGTGGGGATATTTCAGAATTAGACGTAAGGTTCAATATCCCGGCTCGTACTAACTGTTAAAAAAGCCAATAACAGGACAATATTCGCCTGCCTCTGGCAACTGGGGTTTGACTTCTTCAAAAAACAAAAAAATCGTTTGTTTCTTTGTTTAAAATTCAACGTCTTTCTCGGTTTTTCATTTGTGTGTGTTGATTAGCCTGCGGTTTCAACCCTTTCCCTTTCGGGCGCCTCCTACGCAGGCTACACTTCTCAATATGCTGTTACTTTTCACGATTATCAATATCTAACACATGTCATTATTAACGGACAAGCCGCTTTCAGTATTTGCACGGATGTTTCTGGCCACTCTGTAAACTGCTCCACTGTACGTAAGGAGTTAGTTATTAATTATGTTTTGTACTTCAAACTTTGTACTTATTTTTTCAGTAAATTAATATAGTATTGCATGCGACTGAGCAAATTCGGTAAATAAAGGATTGATTTTATGGCCACAGTAACGGGAAGTCACGAACAAGCAAGATAGACCCATCTTACCAACTCGGGTAGCCACTCAGAATACAAGTTTCGTTTCATCTTGCCCGCTCGTGGAGCCGGTCATGTAAGGAAGCACGGTATTAACTGGGTGCTGCCTGCAAACGAATCCGCGGCTTGAAGTCCGCGCAGTTGACTGAAAGTCTTGCAGAGGGATCTCTGACCTGGCGCGTTTTCTTGCTCTATGTTACGGGAGTAAAGAGCAATCAGACCTTTAACGGCCTATAGCCATTGAGGCCTCATGTCCCAATAGTATTCATTCAAACGCCAGCATGCTAATGCGGACTGTTTGCCTCTGTGAAGGACCCAAAATGACAGGATTTAATTTTTGAAGCTTTGTAACTCATCTTTGGTAGTTAGAAGAGCTTAAACACGAATTTACCCATGGAAACAAAACACCGCGGGAGGAAAACCAGCAGAAAATTCCGTGTCGCCTAAGAGCTGGCAGAAAGGCAATAATTATATCGGAATGTTTCTCAAGTCTCTCTGCCAGGTTTCTTCTCTTAACATACAACAACCTATCTAAAACTAAAATCTACAACCACACACATATTTTTTTCTGTTGATTAATTATCTAGCATGCAGGGATATATAAGATAACTAACGAAAAATCATATTACTCAGTGCATGTATTTCTGCAGGTGAAAGAACACAAACGCGTAGCTTCAATCTACAACTACGCTGCGTATGCTTGTTAAAAATACCCCTGCAGTATTATAACCTTGCAAATACAGGATGGCTAGCTATTGTGCGCATCCGTGAAGAACTCAAACTCTTCAATCAAGATTGGAGAATCAGGGAAATATGCACGGCAAAAACTGAATAAGCAGGGGTAGACACTGCTTATGAAATACACCTTTCAATGTGTTTGAGAATGGTGTCGCTGTCTTCGCCATTAAACTTTCTCAGACAACGTGGGCATTCATCCAGCTGAATTGTCTCATCTTTATCATGGTCAAAACTGATTTGTGCATCATCAGTGACGGCATTACCAGCGGCGGCGGCAGCGGCTGGTGAATCAACGACATCTTCCACTGTATCGGGAAGCACCTCACCGCCATGGTACATAGACTGTGCCGCACTGGATCTTTGGTTTGATGGCTGTGAGACTGGCCCACGGGTAGGATATGATCCCTGAATAACAATAAAGAATGGAAGCAGAAACCTTAGCAGCGGAAAATGGTTAAGTTTTTGAGGTGAATTTTTTGAGGAAAATCCAGAGGCAGATCTTTGAATCCAAAAACGAATTCACCATTTGTACATTTTTCGGGCAAGGATGCGATGAAAGAACAACAGGTAAGCGATTTTTTAGTGAAAATTTTTTCAGATGTCCCTTACAAGTGGCCATTGGAAGCATAAGGGACGCGTGGGAGCTTACGGGATGCGTGGAGGCCCGCATACGGGATGCATGGAAGCTTACGGGAGCTTGCGCACGAAAGTCATCATTGTACTATGCATGAACCAAAAAACAGTGAGATGTTTGTTGTTGAATAGAGGACAAACAATGAGATTTTTACCTTGCTGTGTCTGCTAAAAGGAGCTTAAAGACCTAAAAAAAACCTACATCGTTCCCTTTAAATGTGTCCGCGGCTGCTTAAGGGAAGGTGTTAAGGCATAGATAATATAATAGAGTGTAGTTCATATAAGATGTTCACAAAGCGACCATCAACAGAGCTATCCTAAACAGGATAAAGTCGTTTACGACAGCTTTGTACACTGTTTATACGTTTAGGTTTCCTTCATCTACCTTGCCGAATATTGTGATTAATTTATGTATCAACCGATTTCAATTCCAATGACCAACATCAATATTCTCCCTAATATTATATTGTTTAAAAACAGCTTTGGCAAACAACAATTTGTACTCAATAACACAGCCTGTACCAGGCTGCCTCTCTCCCTGGCCAGGGTTCGTACTCTTTCAAGTTCTTCAAATTCCATGACTTTCCATGGGTTTCCATGACTTTATCCATGACCTTTTCTAGTTTTCCATGACTTTCAAGGGCCGAAAATTAAATTCCATGACTTTCCAGGCCTTGAAAACTAAAGTCTTAAATTCCACGACTTTCCAGGTTTTCCATGGCCTGTACGAACCTTGCTAGCCTCCGCGCGTTTTTCGCATCAGTTTTCAAGATCCCTGCATATAACTATCTTGGAGCCTGTAACAGGAGATCGATAACATGGGACTTACAGTAAAATCTAATATGGCTAACTGAAAAAATAAATAGAATTCTCCTTACCCTTGGCACCAGAGGATGATTTTGCCGTGACCAATCTTGAGTTGTGTAGTCACGCCCATAAGGATTGTACTGGTTACGAGAGTATGGCTGGCATTGATAAAAAATTAATAATACAATCAATCAAACACTCAGAAAAGTCAAGAGACCTTATGATTCTCCGACGAGGACGAATGTGACGAGATTTTCACAGTACTTAAGAATGCGCACGCGAGAACCAGATCATTTAGGGAAAACGTGATAGCTGTCATCATTCTATTACGGTTTTTGCAAGAATGCCATAGTAGTCATAGTGATGGAAACAGGTTTTAAATGTTAGAGGTGTTATCACTTTGCAATCAGGAGAGGGCTTAACCTCCTTCAATAAAAATAACCGTGTTAACTTTTCTGTTGAAAAAAAGTAAAATGAAGCTTTTCTGGGAGTCTGTTATTTTTTTAAGAATGCGAAAAAAGCTGTTAGTCGAACCTTGTACTCATAAATTATGTCAAACTCGTCCTCAAATCTAAAGGTCTATAATAACAAACCACTACAGGTATATCCTTCTTCTACACAAGGCACTGGCTTACGAACTACATGTAACCCTTTAAGCCCTAGTATCCACATACAAATTCTCCAAACTGATCGCCATACATTTCCTTTAAGAACTGGTTGAGAGAATTTAATAAAACATCAAGGCATTTTCTCTTTCGTGATCGTTTTTTATATTCTCACAACCTTATCTCTTGACAATGTATGGACATTGTTAGGAGAAAATTGCTGTTGGTCACTATTGGGACTTAAAGGGTTAAAAGGGAAACAAGAGACGCCACACTCATTCAGAAAACATATCTAAGAAGTTTTAAGCCATCTCAACTGCTGTGTGAAAGTGACTGGACTTTTATGTCACTTGCAAGCAGAGCACAGAGAAAATAAGTCAGTTAGGGAGGAACTCAAAGTAGAAGATAAATGGTTAGAGGACTTTATAAAGAAACAAAAGCTGAAGTATTTTGGCCACTTAAGAAGAAGTGAGGACTTGGAAAAGATAATAGATAAAGAGGATAGATGGGAAAAGAGAAAGAGGAAGACTGAGAAGGAAATGGGAAAGGGGCACATGGGATGTTTTTGACACGTCGCTAAAAGAAGTTTAAAGCTAGGCACTTGACAGAGATCGTTTCCGCTGTGTGGTCAAAGATGTGACGTCCAATAGCATAAGCAGTTAGAGTAGTAGCAAGCGGTCCTGACTAGTATCTTGTAACGTGTAGGTGTAGGTGTAGATGTCTTACAGTAAGCAATACTTACCCCTAACTGCTGTCCATACACATGTTGCTGCAGCTCTTGTTGTCCTCTCAGTAATCTGTCTCTCTCCCTGTCATGTACCTCTTTAATAGCTTGCACCCTAGCTCTCTGTTCGGCTATAGCTCTGGCTCTTTCAGTCAATGGGTCTTGGTATTGATAGCCACCCTGATCAATTAATACAATTTTATTACACTTTTGGATTACTACAAGGGAGAAAGCTCCTCTTAAAGACAAAACTTACAAAGTGTTTACACTAATGCTGGAAACTCCTGCACACTTGCTGAAAGAGTATTGCCAACAGATGGCTTAATATTTTGTCTCTGTGTTCTGCACTCTCAAGACCTCACCATGGACCATTGAGTATTATTGTAAAAGATGAATGATTTGACCACAAGATTCCAGCTTCGAAATGAAACTAAGTTCTACTTGAGTTTTGAACCCTTGCTTTATAACATCAATTCTATAATCTGTAAAATTTTTGACAATGAAAAGTTGCTGTTGACTTCTTAGATTGAAATTAAAATGTAACAAAACATTTGGGGTTTCCTTCTCACCGGGACGTGATAAATGGAAGTGGTGTGAAATTATTGCATTATCTTTCCCATCATTTCATCTGGCTTAAACTGGTGTCAGTCATGATTTTAATAGCTTACCCCAGTACTGTAGCTAGCTGCCCTTAACTGCTGCTGTAAGCTTTCCTTTTCTCTCTTTTCCCTTTTGAAATCTTCTTCATATACTTGAACCTGTGTTTAAAAAACAAACAAAAAACAAGAAGAAACATTTTTAACATATAGTGTAACTGTTTTTTTCTATGTGAACTTGACTTCGAGTGCAATGTTATGATTAAATAATTAAAAGCTGACACACACAAACAGTAATTTGCATAATTATTATATATACACAGAAAACAGAGTTTTACCACAGAGCTTATAGCTGTTTATTAATCACTAAAGAATAAAGAAAACAGAGCAGTGAAATAAGAAAATATTACTGTTATCTAGTATTGTAATCGACCAATTACTGGTTTAATCTCTGGCTCTTGGGACAGAGTCAAAAATTAATTTAATAATATAAGATTTTTATACATGTAAAGTAATTTAAGGAAGAAGGATGATAAAATGAATATTAGAGAAACTTCACACACAAACAACATAATTAAGGTGTCTAAACTAAGGAAGCCAAGTCTGTGATTAAGCCTTAGAAAAATGATGTAAAGACATGCCCAATTGAATTCACATTGTTCAAATGTTGAAAGTAACATGTAAAGTATGGCATGCTACATCAAAAGACCACACTTATGTGCCCACTTATGTTCATAACAACATCCAACAGAAGAGAAATACTGATATGAAAAGGTGAAGGTGCACTTTAAGCCATGGAGCTCACATCACTGGAGATTGTTCCAGTTTCTGTGCCATGAAGCACCAGCAAGTAGAGTGACTCCCCTCTGGACAGGATGCCAGTCCATTGCAGGGGGTGACTCCCAGCAGTACGCTGCTGGTACCCATTTACACACCTGGGTGAAGAGAGACATAGTGGAGCAAAGTTTCTTGCCTAAGGAAACCAAGCGATGGCAAGGTTCAAACCCAGACCTATGGATCCAAGTCCAACCTGTTCACCTCTTGGTCACCACGGGGGCTCCATGAAGAGATGATGGGATTATTGGTGCAGACTAAGGTTGAGGCAAGGTTACAAGATGGCTGGGCACATAACTGAGATGTCATGATGTAACATCCGTCACTAAAGCACAAAAAATGTGCCTTGGTTCTCCCACTTTTCAAAGAGATTAGGGAAAAAAACTGCCACCATCAAACACTCTGGCCACCTGTGCTTGCTATGTACATGTACTCCACATTGTTGTGATACCGAACCTACCAAAGAGATGTTGGTCGACAGCAGCCTGGTACGCTGGTCCATAAGGACACGCTGTTGTACAATGTCAGTACTAACTCAGTGGCCAGGGCTACTCAGTTTAATGAAGTGTCAGAGCCTACCGGAAGAGTTGCTCAGATGGCTTCGACAATGACTGACAGTGACTGAAGAAACAATTGTAATTCATGTATATGTATGTCAGAGCAGAGACACTTCACAATAATGTCATCAGAACTTAATTCTTACTCTGAACTTTGGTGCAACCTCAATACACTATGGCGGCATTTGGTTATTCTGCAAGTTTTTATACAAGAAGGGTCATTTTTAAACAATTAACTTTACTTGATTTGTTTTAAGAATAATAGAACTGAAAATAATGATGACAGCATGTTGAATCTGGGTAAATGTATTATTTTTTTCAACACAATAAGGACAATCTAAAGAGATTTCTGTAAATTTCAGCTGGGATAGTGGCGAAAGTACCACACCTGAGAATCTTTTTTCAATACAGTGCACTGAAGTTGCACCAAAGCATAATTCTCTTTTCACAGTTTTTTTTTCATCCTGTAAAATGATATCTATAGTATACTTGAACTTTCTTGTGCCTCTGCTATAGACCTTGCCAGGTTTAAGAGGTCACTGTGACGAAAAAGCCAACATTTCAGAAATAACATTTCTTAAAGTCATAAACAATAATTATTTTATACAGAAAATCCATGACATGTTGAGATGTTGTATCAAGCTACTAATTCCTGCAACAGAAAAAATTGTGTGAAAAGCTGAACTGTAGTCTATCCAAGTGAGTAGTGCAGCTGAGATGTTGAATCCTAACTCCTGCACCCAGGAACAGTTTTGTGACATGTTTGTAATGTTGTTGTGTACAATACACTTCCAATGTATGGTAAGAATTTGTTACCGTTATTTCAAATGTTTGCCTATTCATCACAATGACCATCAAAGCCTTTACGCAAGGTCTAAATTTATAGACAAAACTTACTTGCTGTTCAAGAGCCTGAACTTGTTCTTTAACAGCTGTAAGTTCATCTCGCATTTTTTCCTTCTCTGCTTGGTTACGTTCGCGATCTTCTCTTTCAGTAGCAAAGTCATCAGCATAAACTCTCAGCTGCTGTTTCAGCACTTCAATCTGATCGATCACCTCTGGGGGGATATTCTGGTTGTAGGGTGTGGTCCCAGGCCAGGAGGGTGGGCCAGTGGTAGGTGCTGTGGCAGAAGCTCCAGTTGGCAAGGCAGCTGCACCCATCAGAGAGGGATGTGAAGATGGAGGTTCCATAGAGGAGTTCTGGCGTGCTGGAGGCTGCTGGTACTACAATGGTTAAATCAGAAGAAAGAACAAAATGTCATCATTCCCATTTCTAGTTAACCACAGCCCACAGGTGTCCATGCATGCATGGTGCCACTGCTGTCTTTTAATAAAAGTTAACAACAATTTATGGAAGAAAATATCATGAAAATATCTTCTCCGCTGATGCCACAGGGTTGTCAGAAAGTTTTGAAGTAGACAGCCTGGTTGTCAAAGTCTATAAAGTCCAGTGATATTTTATTTAAAAAACACCATCCGTAAAGAAACGCCAAGCAGAGTAGCCGGCCGACACTAACCAAGTAGGCGGCGATTTTCGCCGGCAGCCAGCTACTTTTGACAACCCTGTGCGAACTTACTTACACTGCCCTTAAGTAATGTACCAAAGCTAACTGTCTAAGTACTTAGAGTGAATAACATCTCTCGTAATGACAATAAAACATAATCAAGAGGAAAGAGTACGAGAATTATGAAACGATCACCTAAGCCCGAAAATGCTTTGATCTTTAAGTAAAATTATATCAACTAAATCTTTAAGGAAAGGTGTGGAGATCAGCCAAGAAAATTTGTATGTCACCAATGGATTTCATAGGTTTAGAGCTTTTTGACTCCAAATAGAGTAGAATCCTTACTGTCTTATTTTATTATAAGCAGTTCTTCTGAACGAAGAAAGGAACAAAATAACATTTTGGTATAGTATGGGCTTGATAATACTTATATCATAAATGTATCTACTGAGACTATTACCAAAGAATGGTTCCTCATCTGTAACTGCAGGCTGTTTATCTCAAGCTGTTTCTGCTGAAGCTCACTTTCCAGTTGCTTGCAGCGCTGATCCAGCACCTAGAATAGTAACAAGGCATAAAACAACAAGGTTTACATTTATCACACAAAAACACATGATAACTGATCACTGAAGAATTATTGTTTGTATACATACCACTTTAACCCCTAAACTCTTTTTTCAGTGATGGCAGTGATAACATTATCATTATTTGGAAACCAGCCTGAACTTGCAAATGTCATGAGCTTTTATCGGGTGAAATTCTAGTAAAAAGCTGTCACACCTTAGAGCTCCACCCTTCCTTTACAATGTAACACTTACCCTATTTTCCATCATGGCAGGTTCTGGAAACTGACCAGGTCTTCTACCAGCAGAGCTTAGAACTTGAATTTGCTGCCTCAGATCACCAATTTCTTTGCTATTGGCTGCCACCAGCAACTTGTACTGTTCATCCCACTTATGATTTACGTCAAGAATCTTTTGAAGAATAACAGAACACAGTTTGACTCTACAAGTTTAAGTTAAAATTCTACTAAGCAAACCGACGAGTTTTCAGAAGTGTTCATCATAGTTTTTGTTCTGAACAAAAATGACCTATTTTGTTTCAGTCTGCTGGCCAGTTAGTCAATAAAATCTAGTAACAGCAATTAACCCTTTAAGTCCCAATGGTGACCAAAATCAATTTTCTCCTAACGATATCCATACTTTGTAATGAGATTAGGTTATGAGAATGAATAAAATGATCACCAAAGGGAAACGCTTTGATCTTTTATCAGATTCTTTTTACTCATTCTGTAAGGAAATGTATAGAGATCAGTTTGGAGAAATTGTATATTGATATTGGAGCTTAAAGGGTTAAGTAAATCTCCGCCATGACGAGACTCAATAGTGGACATATTTAGAGTTAGCTGTTAGTCAGATCAGATCAGTCTGTCGTCATTCAACGTTTCAATAACTTATTATCAATCCAGTCAAAATAATCATTGTAAGCTGGAATTTCTTAGATTCTACATTCCACAAAGTGACTCAGTCTGTTGTAGTCTATTTTACCTCTTCCTTCAGCTTCAGTGCTTCATCCTTCTCAGCTTTTGTTAGCAATAGCTGTCGCTGAAGTTCAGTAAGCTGGCGCTGCAGTTGTGTACAGCTCTCACAAGGTGCAGGTCCTTGTTGCGATAGTGGTGACTTCAACATGAAAGACTTTTTTAGGAAAAAAGAGGAAAGAAAAAAAGAAAACAATCAATATAATTTTATCCTAAATTACAATATATGTACAAAATTAATGCCATCCTCAGCTGCTTCTAAATACAACTGCATTATCATTTGACCATTTGCAACAGTGATCATGACTTAACAAGTTATGTGCATTCCACAGCACAAGAAGCCTGTTTAAGGTTAATACGTAACAACAGACCTTCCCCGTAGTTGAATGTGGTACAAAAACGAGACTTATTTTCCAAATCTAATTCAGCTGTTGGCTTATAATATAATTATGGTATAGCAGCAAGAACTATTTTGTGCAAGTTTGACAGTTTCTTGAGGTCTTGATCCTGATCTTCGATTTTCTCTTTTCATTTAACGTAATTTAATTTAATTACATGTGTGGCAAGTGAATAACTATTGCATTGAATTGAATCGTGTCAAACTACATGTAGTGTTCAAATTAAAAAATTTGAAATACAATGGTGAGAAAAGCCAACAGAAGTTATAGTACCTACATATTGTAAACAAGCAGTTTAGCTCATTAGATGATACGTGGGTAATAATAAACTACTGTATTGTATATTTGTATTGTATTGTACCTCATTTGCAAGTGAGACAGCTGGACTTCGTTCTGGAAAGACAAATGAAGGTTTGCTGCCTGCTGCTGTGGTTGTTTCATGCTGTCTTTTAACTGCAGTAGTCTTTTGGAATAACTGAAGCTCACTTTGAATTTGTCCAATTTCTTCTTTGCTTTGATCAAGTTTCTCCTTCAGCTCTTGCACGACATTTTCATGAGAGGCCTAGCAGTTTAATTATTGGTAAACAAACACAAATAAACATCAAAGACTGATCAAGAGTGAATAAATAAATAATATTAGTAACGAACATAGTCCTGAATAGGACTGTTGTTATTGACAGTGACTGACGTTTCAACAACATGTGCGGTAGTCCTCTTCAGAGTTAGAGTGAGTTGTATCACGTCAGTTCTTGGTATTATACTCTGGTTATTGATCTGATTGGTTAATTACGTCGCAATGTTATTGGTCGTCTGTCAGTTAAGCCGTGACAGGTCTGGAAAATAGGGTCTGGATAGGCGAAATGGAGTAACTATGTACACACAGTTACATATTGGATACTCAAGGTGTGAACACAACACCATTTTGTGTTGGTACCCAGGCACTGGTTCCCAACACCAAGTGTGGACAGCCCCAAACATGACCCTGGGAGAAGCGAGACAAACTGTATAAGTAGCTTTGATTGACACCTACCTCCCATCCTTAATTAAGTCGCCTGGAAACACAGATACATGAAATATTAAAACAAACCTGTTCCTCTTCCATAGCTGCAAGCTTAGTTCTTAACTGTTCCTCCTCCGAGATCAAAGCACTTGACAGTGTCTCCCTCGTTCTTGCCTGTTTGGAATACTCATTAAGCTTGGAGTAAAGACTTGCAAGCTTTCCCTTTATCTCTGTGTCTCTGTCGTTACCAGGAAGTCTTTCCACATTCTCTTGCAAGGTATATGCCTCTTTAAGAAGCTGACCAATTTCATGATTTATGTGCTGGAACTCTGTATAGATCTCCTTTGGTAAAAACAATTTCATGTGGTTTCAAAAGGAAGCAATTGGAAGGAACCCACTACAATACACATTCATGTCGAGCAAGAAAGTTGCTGAAAGACCCACCTTCCCACTACTGTAAAGTGGGTGGGACAAATTATACGGTAAAATGGATGGGCAACTTGTATCTTCTTCAGGATGTTGATAGTTGAAATAAAATAATGTTATGTACCAAGAGATGGGCACAACCAGTTTGAAGTATTAATTTTCCATTGGTGGCATCTCATTTGTTATCATTACAAATGGAATGTTATGTACACACGAACATGAACAAGTCAATGCAGCACTTGAAAATCGATCCTCAGTCATAAATTTTTCTTCCAGCAATAACACCACATGACGTCTTTGTGTCTTGGCAAGATATTCTTGGTCATCACATGACAAGTGCCATGCATTAACAGATATTTATAATTACACAAACATACTATTAAACTTTTTATGATATCAATAGACCCTAACTGTCAAACTAATAAAACCATGAAAATCTGAAATATTTTAAGAATGTTCTTTGTGTTATGGCCAATCAAAGGGAACACCAGGGCATCCAAGTTGGCCACAAAACCACCAACTAATCATTACTATGATAATCGCTGATTGTAGGTTAGCTTTCACATGCCCAATTAACTCTTTCCTTACAACACTGTAATTAACATTCCAGAAATATTTCTGAAGTTCGCGGTTTTGTGAGTTTCCCAGTAAAATATTAGGTTGACAAATAAAATAATCGTGTGACCTCTCATGCAAAAAAAATTATTGCAAGCAAAAAGATGAGAACCAGATAGCCAAGCCAATATATAGAAAAGGAATGGCCTGAGTAAATGTAGAAAATTAATTTTATGAACAGATGAGGTCGAACGGATGATCAATTCTGGTAATTAATCTCTATCTATAAATTGAAAGAAATCCAGTTGGAAAAGACACCATCTTATTCTACGTTTGGGCCCAGGCTCGATGCAGAAGACAATCACCACCCAAGAGACTGGAGTACACGTGGCAACTGATCCATTCCTTCCCAAACTTGTTCCAATGCATGTAGGTATTCAAGACCATCACTGTGGTTTTTGCTCTTTGTACATGTAGTCAAAGTTTGTAGGGTGTAAGTTTTGTTTGCTTTTTTCTCGTTGGTTATTGAATATGAATATTATTTCTTATGAATTTTATGGTCCTTTAAGCTGGATACATACCACCAACCTAAGGGTAATAAAATTATATTGAGGCCACCAATAACACATTTAAACATTAATGCCGCAGAACAAATCTCTTGGCAGATCAATCAACATTACACTATTAGTGTACCTTTATATGAAATTCTCCAGGTAATAATGATGGATATCCTGCAGATAATGACTGGGGACCAGAGACAGTTGTTACATTGATGTTATAACCATGAATTCCAACACTCGACCTTGTCAAAGATGAATGACAGCTACCACTCTGCTTTTCTACTGTGCTTTGGTTGTCGTCATCGTTAACTGTGCAAAGTGAAAGGTCAGCTTGTGCTGCATCAATACCCTTTTGCAACAAGCTTGATTTTAATTGCTCGATTTCTTTTTTCAGTCTTGCATTATTTTCTTGTGAATCTTGAAGGACTTTCCCTGTTAATTATGGTGTAATTTTCAACAACGTTAATATTTAGAACATAAACTTTTCAGAAGATTGATTTATTGTTTTGTAGATGTTCATAACTGTGATTGCATGCTTGATTATACATGTACAGTGTACCCCAAACTACAGCTGTACAATCTTCAATCAGTTACTGTTTAAAAGAAAATATACATAATTATAATTAATTATTGTATTTTTTGACAATAAAGAAGGGGTGTACAGAACAAGGTCCCAAGTAAGATGTACTGTTAATTCCCCTTTTGATCCAAACAGAAATACATTAATACAAATTAGACAGAGAATATACATTGTAGCAGCTTTAAGTAAAAGGTCACTTGAGGGTTTTACCACTTAACACTATTACTCTGTAGCTCAAGCCATGCATTATATACTTTTCTGGGAAAATAATATTCTTGATGTAGAGTAATTCTTTTTTCTTTTTTAAAAATTTTCATTGGAATTGCTGAACCTAACGAACAGTTTTAACCCTGTAAGCCCTAAGAGTGATGAGCATCAATTTTCTCCTTGTAATATCACTGATTTACAAAATAGAGTGGTCATGAGAATTAAGGTGATTCCCTAGTAAAAGAATCTAACATAGATTGTAGATGAAACTTGGTACACTGATGTGACAAGTCAAGAAGATGATAAAAAGGTAATAAAAAGTGGGGGTCACCATGCTCGTTTTGACGTCACAATGCTGACAAATACGGCTATTTTGGACCCTTTGACAAAAACCGCGCAGCCCAAAACTAGACAAAAAGGAAAGATTTTTTCAATGATGCATGTGGTATCGCACAGAATTTGACTTTAATGTATTGTTTATCCACTTATGTACTAGAAAAATGCCTTTTAATGCCCTTGTTTTTACTTTAGGTTCCAAAGTAGAATTAAATTGGACACGCCCTATTCAACACGTGATCCATACAATTTAGTAAAATTGCCAAAAAGCTGAACATAGATTTGTGCCAATTTTTTTCTCACCGAAAGGAAGCACTGTCCTTATTAAAATCATGAAATAAAAAAAGGGGGTCACTGTATCCGTTTTTGCGGTAGAGCTGCAGAAAGTGCACACCAAATGCATTTTCCTTGATTTTTGAGAGAGGACTGGGGCAAGTTTCAAAATAGAATGTATGCGAAAGGGGGAAGAAAGTATTAAAAAATCCGTTTTTACAGAATTTACATCGAGATATCACATTTAGGACACAATGTGATAAAGCAGGCGTTTAAAGGAAAACAAAGTGAATAAGCACAAATTAAACATCCACTATCGAGGTTCTCCATGAGGAAGTCGAACTCAGAAACATGCGTACTGCTTACGTTATGCACATTCCCACCACATTGAGTCTCACCTTGGCAAGAAACAACCGCAAGCAAAAATTTCAATAGCGTTTCTCTTCGGTCAACTTCATTTTAACAATCTTACTTCACATGCTCTTTTTTACGGAGGCTAATAATATCTTGTTATGCGCAATAAGAGATGCGCAGTGCAAAACCAGGGAATCACCTTAAGGACATGATCACACTATATAAATGAATCTAATTGATACTTCAACAAATTCTCCCCATCCCCTCTATTGAAAACGTATAGGTATATCACATGAGAATTTGAATTTTGATGTTAGGGTTTAAAGTGTAAAGTGACCACCCACATGGGAAAGTCAGGGGGGGAGGGGGATCTGACCACCAGGAACCAAAAACCTTATAAGCTCAGCTTTTCCAAATTAGAATCAACAAAGTGACTATACCTAGAACTTGCACTCCTTGGGCTCTGACTTGTAGAACTTTGTTTTCTTGTTGTAAATGTTCAACTCGTTTTTGTAGCTTTAAAAAATCTTTGTCTTGTGTACTAAATGTTTCGGATGCGTCCTTCATCTCACTCATAGCATAAATCTGGAACTGTTTTTAATACATATGTTTGCCCTCCAGACTTTTTACACTTCTAAACATCAACAACAAAAACAAGATTATAATTCAACACAAGTATTGAGTTGACTACCGTGCTGTGTTGTTCAATAGAGTTAGTTCCAACTCTAGTGAAACTGACTGTGTACAAATGCAAGGCAAGACAAGACACCCAACCATCCACAATGAGCATGTTTTTGCATGGTTGAAGGCTGTTTAGGCATTATTATTTTAAACTACATTAATTTACTTTCCACAAAAAATGAGTTCATATGCTCATAGATAAGAAGTACCATCCAATCCATGTGCTTTTTCTATGGAAAGTTCATGCCAATTCAATACTAATAATAATTTAATATTTATATTGCGCAAAATACATGTAAATATGATCAAATGCGCATTACATGAAAGTAAATTATCGACATTAATATTAAAGTTATCCAAAATACCTAAAAATATAATATAAAAAACAATGGATCTATAAAAATATAATATATACATAATCCTAAAAAAATCCTAATAAAAAGCTAATCTAAAAAAATGGGTCTTAAGTTAACCTTTAAACCTATGAAAATTGGGCTAATTCACTACAGCAAAATAATTCTCCTGCAAAAATAATGGACAAAACAATCCTAGCAAAATTTCTTGTTACGTTTGTTGCTTTTCTGACGTTGGATGCCTGCTTCAGTATGATAAATAAAGCTGACCTGACAATTTTATTGATTACAAGGATGGATTTATACCTCTTATTAATTTTTAACAGAATGGCTGCTTTAGAGCTCATAATTATTTCGGCAGACATCTACTTTTTCTTGCTCACAGAAAATGTAATAATAGAACAAAATTGCCAAGACTCCACCAATATGTATTATTTTTACCTTGGTTTTCAGGCAAAAAATATTTTGAATACCAGATATGTACCTACAAATGACAAAAGCAATGATCCTATATATGCTGTGGCTTCTTGTTATATAAATGAGGCTAAAGTTGTATTGTGATGTCAGTACCAAATCATTTTCCTTTCTTGATAGGGATAAAACAGAATTAAATAAGGTAGTTTTTACACGAACGTACAGGAAACTCTATCACCCACCACTTCCTTTGGGGAAGTACTAACTTAAAGGTTACACTCCCTCCATTAAAAAAGAAGCTGTGAGCAGAAGATGTGTATTACTATACTTGTATACGCAGTACTTTCGCACAACGTCCTCAAACACAATCAGCGATCTGAGTCGGACATTGTCTTTTAGGGTCTGAATACTAAAAGTATTGGGTTTTGAGGAAATTTTATCGGCAAGCTTATGTAACCTTTGCCAAGTATTTAATATTACTGCAGAAGGATAATGCGACAAATAAAATCAAAAAGATCAAGCTTTTAGAGAGCTTTTGAACATTTTTCATGGCGAAAATTCTAAGCTTCTCACGGGAATTTTACACTGAACATAAATATTATCAAGCTTTGTGTTTACATTCGTGTAATATTTTAAACGCTTCAAGGATTAATTGCGCTTTACAGGGCTTCAGATATTGCATTTTCAGGCTGGAAGAAGCTGTTTAAATCTTCTTCTGCCCAGATGTTGTTTTTGATCGATCAACTACAATGGACCACACGAAACTAAAATATTCATATATCAAACACAATCTTTAAGTTGCTGTTCTAGAAAAAGCCCCCGCAAAACCAATTAGATAATAGCAATGCTTCGCAAAGATCTTTCGAAAAGGAAAATACGTAGTCCATCACACTCAGGAACATTAAACGGAGAGCACTGAACACTTTTTGTCACGGAACTCCACATGGCCTCCACAAAATATTCAATTTTAGTTATCATAAGACGGAATTCTTTTGTGATGTGTTTACACCCGACACAAACCGGGGGGAACCACCGGTTGATGCCCGGAAGTCATAACTGCAAGTAAAGACAAGTATGACGCCTGTTATTGCTAAGTTTAAACACAATGAACATTCCCTCACGTCAAAAACCTTTTTGATCCAAATGGATGTGCTGACCTTGAGAAGAGTTCGATTAATCCTGGCAAACAGCCATCAGTTATCCATTGTTGATTTTGCTCACTGCTTCGCAACCCGTTTGTGTCGAGCGATAAAAACTAGCGATTCTGGTGCAGACAGTTCACTCACGTTGCAGTTAGAAAAACAACTGTTATTCATTTGAAATACAGTGTACTGTTCAATGAGCCAAAAACGCTCAAGAGACACCCGGGCTCTCGAAAGACGCGAGCGGCGCAACAAAAACGCGAGCGGCGCAACAAGATGGCCGAATACGAAAAAACCCTTGTTGCATATTTTATTTGGGGATTCCCCGCGCACATAGTTTTCCAGCTCTGATTGGCTAGGTTCGCTTCATCAACTCTCGCGTCATCAATCGGGTGTCAGAAATTTGAATCCCTGCATTATGAAGCAGGGATCGGTGATCATGCATTATCAGGTATACTAAATAGTTTTAAAATTTGTACTAATTAAGTTCTGAGCGTTTGAAAACTGAAACTGCGTACTGTCGGTGCAATACCAGCGAGATTTGCCCAGAAGTCGCTTTTTTAGCGGCGAAAGGCGAAGCATATACCAACGCGGAAATAATTTTGACGCTAACTTCCATGTAGACCACCTCCCGTAAGCGACCACCTCCAATAAGCGACCGCCAATCCAAAACACCAACATTTCCCAGTCGAAGCCTTACAGTTGAACCTCCAGTAAACGACCACCTCCTGTAAGCGACCGCGACCACTTTTTGGGCCTGACGGTTAATGATTTCCATTATTTTCAACCTCTTGTAAGCGACCACTTACGCATTCTTTGATCTGTATGTTCGCTGTGCACTATGCTACTCGGAATGTACGAAGAACTTTAGCGACAACACGGAACTACACATGTCGTAACTTAGACATTACATGCAATAAATTATCTTCCATATAGTAGATGTGCCTGGACCTTTTCTCGGATGAGACCTCTGTGGTTCGATTCCGTTAAACGCCACCTCCCGTAAGCGACGACTTAGTCTGCATTTTGGCTGGTCGCGCACGGGAAGTTCGACTGTATTTTATGTTTGCTTTTAGTTTCTCCTTCGAAACGTTTTCGATTGTGAGTTACGATCGGGCCACGGAAGAACGCAAATTGAAAAGCGAGCAAGGATATTTCTATCAATCGTAAAAATATTTAAATTGCCTTCATTGCTTTGGGCGAGTTCCAGTCATCTAGCTATCTTTAGAACCTTTGAACTGAAATCCCCAAGCGATTACCTCCGTGATGTGCGTTTCGGCACGGAAACATCATCCGATATATCGTCATACAATGAGAAATAAAAGTGTCTGCCTATACGATAGTTGTTTTGACCGTTTTGAATACATGACAAAGGGGATCTCCCATATCAAAAAAATGGGTTTAGGTAACCGACCAGTGTTCTGTTTATGCTCGCCTAGAGCAATTACCGTGACCCCTCTGCAACTGATCTGATGTTACCCTTAAGGAGAACCAGTTCGCACAAACCAGTCCTAGTGAGGTTTGGTCAGCACAACGGATCAATTCCACTGGACAAGACAAACAAAAGCCCTGGGACGAGATTGCAGGTATCCCCCGGAGAGAAAATAATTTTCAGTTTCAGTGTCATCATTCTCGGAAGTCTTCTGATCATCGCTTGAGCAGCGTATGTACCTTTCAAAAAAAACCTTTCGAAACAGTCTCTTTCCTAGAGGCGGTGTCACAGCGTTTTGGGCATCCCCGCGTTTTGGGCATCCCATTCCCATATCCCTAGCGTTTTGGGCATCCCCGGTGGGGGATGCCCAAAACGCTGATCACTTCGACTTTGCCTAAATTATTTCAGACTGGGGAAAAGTCGGGATTGTTAATCACGAATTTGCGGCTAAATAGTGTAGATGGATGTTAGAATTATATCGTCCGACACTTTTTGCCGGGTCAATTGCGCAGAAAAAAACCCATAGGCAGTAAACGTAAGCTCAAAACATGACGAAACTGAAATTTACAACCGCATAACATCGCTTCGATGCACAACACTTCATTGCTTGCAAAGCTTTCAATTTTATTTAATAGAACTGTTTACAAGCGAGCAATGTCGCAATCACCGGCAGCTGCGATCGTCTGATTCCAAACAGCCAAAAACAAGAATACTAAACAAAGGAATCAAAAGGCAAACATGAATAAAACTGCGTTTTGCGGTGTTGCATTCATAGTATTCATGACATTTGAGGCCTGTACAACTTAACCCCGCAGGGCTACTTGATACAGCAAAGGCTGTCACACAATTACTGAGGCCTCAAATCATCAGTGGCACTCTTCGAAGACCCTCGCTTTATCTTCCTCGGCGATAACAACACGTCGAAGCGCTGTGCCATCCTTCTCCTTGGCCACGTAGCACAAGGACTCTAATTTTGAGTCATACTCAAACTTTTTGGCGAATTTTCTAAGAATTGTTTTGTCCTGCTTTGTAAAGCCTTCCGGATAAACCTTATTTTTAAGATACCGGAACAGATTTGTATATTTAGCGGAATCCATCTCTAAAAGGTTTTCGATTTTCCCGCGAAATCCCAAATTGTTTTGGAGGGGATGCCCAAAACGCTAGGGATTTGGGCATCCCGGGAGGGTACCGGGGGATGCCCAAAACGCTGCAGTAATATGAGAAGGGGATACCCAAAACGCTAGGGATATGGGAATGGGGATGCCCAAAACGCGGGGATGCCCAAAACGCTGTGACAGCGGGGTTACCCTTGTCCGTACTTGCTTCGTTCCCAGTCTGCTCGACAAGGGCAGTAAGGTCCGGGCAGTAACTGGAAGACAGTCTCCCTACATGTATCTCCGCAAACAAAGGGCGAAGATAAAATCACTTTGATCACGTGACCTTCAACAAGATTTTACCAAGTGAATCTTCTCTTGTGTCCTTTTCGTACAATTATGTCCTCTGTTAGCACTTACAATAACCAACTTTCTCCTTTCTTGTTCATGGCATACTTCAGCGTTTAATTCGCGGCAACAAGACAGGGCTAAGGACTCTTTAGTTCTTCAGATTGGGCCAGAACAAACAGACATAACTTCCACTGTTGTTTTACGAGGGCACCATGATAGTGCCCTCGTTGAACAAGGTTGGAATTATCTTTGAAAGGTACCTTGAGTACGCGGTTACTCCTCGTTACACGGCAAGGCACAGCTCAGAATACATGCGCAATAGCAAAAGGAGGCTCTCCTCAGTCGCTCAAAACTAAATACGTCTTTGCACGCTTCTGAAATGCTCCCACAGAAATGCAAACAATAGGAAAAAAAATGCACTAGTTGGGCGTGTTGAAGAACACTATCACCGTGAGTAAATCATATTCCGTGCGGTACATACACATAAAAACAGGCTAAAAACCAGAGGGTTTGAATTCTGGGGGCTCCGTCTAATTCTGTCTAACTGTTTACACAGTCCGGTGGATGGGGTTACTCAGA